GGTCCCTGTGCTTTGCTAAGCTTGTTGTAAGTAGGTGCTTTAGACCACTGAGCCATCTCACCAGCCCCCTAATTTTCATTTTAATACACAAAGGAACATTGAAAGAAATACTGTCATGAAAACATATGGCAATGTAATATAAAGATGCTCTTATCAGTAAATAAAACAATGCACAAGCCAGACACAGTGGTACATACCTGTAAAACAGAGAAATTCAGAAGTCTGAGGCAGGAGGATGCAAGCTAGAAGCTAACCTGGACAACTTGACAAGATCCTACCTCAAAGAAAAAAGGGCTGCTGACGTAGCTCAGTGGTAAAGTGCTCGCCTGGCATATATAAGGCCTTGGGTTCAGTTCTTAGAACCCAATGTCACAGGGCATGTGGCTGCACACAGGGCTACCTGAAGTACAATCCAAAACACCACTGACAGGGATCATCTATGGGGTGGAGCTGAGAGGATTTTCTTTCCGGTCACCTATGGCAGCGATAGCAAACCTTCTAGTGTTCAGTGGTAACAAATGACCCACTGTGGCATGTGCACGATAGGTTTACCACCAAGCTATGAGTTCCAGTTTTGCAAAATAAACACCTATCAGTTTTGTAAAAAAGGAAAACAAAAAATTTTAAGACTTCTTTACATTGATGATCTTTACAATAGCTTATAGTCTTCTAAACATTTTTCTGTTCCTTGAGACAGAATCAGCAAGCTGCTTTGACACATCTGATGTCTGCATCTGGGTTTCTGTGTCTCTCTGAGTGGCTAAGTCTGCCAGCAGAGTGGAAGGCACATTTTTTGAGAATTCTGGACACCATCCCTGAAGGGAACATATACAGCCAGATTACACAGACACTCCATGGAGCTCACTCCAATGAAATATGCTGTCTCATCAAGTGCAGACACTGTGCCAGCTGTACACAGCTTGCTAACCTCCTGCCTGGAGCTATGACCTGAACAGGAACTGCATACCTGTAATGCAAGCAGGCTCTAAACTGCAGCAGACTCCACTGGACCCATGGATGATTCCATGTGCCTACTTTCAATCACAACATCCAGACCATGGGTGCCCAAAGTCTGGGTTAGATCCTACTTGTGAAGCCTCCAGCCTGAGAGGCTGCCTTATTCCAGTACTGTGGGAGCCCCTGGTCCATCTGGATCAGATCATCTGATAGTTTGACATAGCTCACAGAATTCAGGGACACAATGAAAAAGTTTATTATAAAAGGTACAACTCAGGAATAGTCAAATAGAAGAGTTATTCAGAGTGAGGTTTGGGGCGTGAAGGAGCAAGTCCCTAATACTAACCCTCTTAGCATCTCCATGTTTGCTAACCTAAAAGCCCCAGTTAGGTTGTCTGTCTGGAGCTTTTATCACATGGACATGTTCAAATTACTGGCCACCAGTGACTGTCTCCAGCATTGTGAAGGGAGCTGGGATGAGGCAGAAAGTCCTAATCGTTTAATCCCACCTTGTTTTTTTGGCACCCAGTCTTCAGCCCAGTGCTGTCAAGGACCCCCAGCATAGAAGACACTCATCACTGCAGATTCCAAGGGTCTTTTACTATGTGCCAGGAACCACAGGACCAAGACCTGGGCTGATTACTAGGAACACGGCTGAGTGAAGCAGATACCTCTCCCATGGAAGTAACACACTAGACATTCTGGCTAAGATGGTGGTGGCCACAGGTATGGGAAGAACAAGACAAGCTTAGACAACATGGATTGCTATAAATACATAGTGAATAGAATAAGGTAAAAATGTGGGCCACAGGGAGATGATATGGAAACCAAGAACAAATGAAGAGAAAGAGTCCCAGGCAGAGCTGGGCAAAAGATGAAAGCAGCCATGGGCTCAGGACAGGTAAAGCCAGCAGCAAGAACAGCTGGAAATAAGCCAGGGAGAGACAAAATTGTGAGACAGGGCTGTGGGCTCAGGTAAGTGTACACCTCAAGAACTCCAGAGACCTGGGGCTGCTGCAGGCCAGGAGGTTCCCATTGAGCCCACACGTGAGATCTACGTACCAACAGTCACATGTACACCTGTGCTCACACTACACATAACAGCCGACACACCTTCTGAAGAGCTTCATGAAAAAGACCAGTTTTTCCAGACCGCTATTTATACATTCAGGGATTTTATGTGTAGCTTTAGTAACCAACTTCCTACTTAGGCTCATGGCTAGTGTCAGAGCCCCTAAGGACTACGGTCCACATGCTGCATTTCTGTGTTAGTCACAATGCTAAGCCTTGCGAACCTTATGCTGTTGGTAGACGTTCTTCTGTCATTTCTCCACAGATCTTATTTTTATTCTATTTATTTATTTA